AATGGTGCTGTGATCATGTTCAAATATGAAACTTGAATTCACAGTCTTACATTTATTACCAAAATGTTTAATTTCAACTGCCCAATTCAGTTGTGACATTTTAAAATTCACCCGATAGAATTTAGAGGTATTTCCTCATAAAAAGACCGGTGACAATAAAAGCGCATTCAACTTTTCATTCACCAAATCAATTCACATCAGTTTCATACCTTTTTTTCGACACAGACGGCGGGTATAACATTCAAAAACCCGTTCCTATCTGCATTAATTCGGAGGAAGGTCCTCACAGGTGGTGGTTCTAATATTCATACACTTTTTCCGACACAGACGGCGGAATAACATTCAAAAACCCATTCCTGTCCGCATTAATTCGGAGGAAGGTCCTCACAGGTTGCGGTTCTAATATTCATACACTTTTTCCGACACAGACGGCGGGAATAACACTCAAAAACCCATTCCTGTCCGCATTAATTCGGAGGAAGGTCCTCACAGGTGGCGGTTCTAATATTCACAAACACATCTCTCATCAAATCATTCCACTCAGCCAACAACCAAGAAATTTGAGAGATATTTACCAAGTGTGAGAGGACCTTACCGAGAGCTATTAACCCAGCTCTGAAGGACAAAGCCTACCGGGAGAGAGTTTACCAGGGGAAACCCCCCTCTCTCTCGCGCTCTCTCAAAAAAACAGTCTCTTTATGCTCAAAAAACCGGATCGAAACCCCAAAAAACAAACACCTCCTCTATTCCCAACCAACATCTTCTATTGGCTATGGCCTAAGACACACCTTCCCATGTTTGTGTAGAAAACAGGACATGAACAGACATATTCTATGGCTATGACATAACCAACTTTTTGAGGCCTCAATGTATTTCTTCTTCAGTCAGGAGCCCCCCTCCCTGTGAACTGCTGTCAGAGGAGAGGGAAAAAAACGGCCTACTCTCTTATCAGAGACACCCATAACTCTTATAGGCCTTACACTCAACTTAACAAACCACTTGGTTTTGTTTATACTGTAACTATAGAAAAACCTAAAATATGAAGCATTTTCATTGTGGGTTATACAAGAATATAATTGATTATATTTGATTATAACTAACTTTCGTTTTAAGTATTAAACATACTATGAAAACTCTCAACAACGGTTATGATAAAACTGATTTATTTCAGTTGTGATAAGGAATACAAATGCTCAGCTGAGGTCTCTGGAGATCAGTGTTCCACAGGCCGCGAGCAGTTTCCACTCCAAGCAGTTAACTGTCTAACATTTTCCTTCCAGAGCCCCGGAAACTGGCCAAACACATTTCATATACTTAGTACAGAATAAAGGTGTCATATTATGATTGGATGTGTATTTATGAGTGAGGTACTGTCGATTGTTGATTGGAGTACAGGCGAGCCCACGCCTCTTGGCTTCACCCAGGTCCAGTCTTCTTCCCAAGGTCATCCAGGCCCTACACTACACTGACTGTCTGTTTCTCCTGTCAAGTGCTAAGCTCTGAACTGCTTGTGATTGGCACGGTGCCCTCTCCTGAACCTCAGCGAATAAATATATTACAAGTAGCAGAAATGCAGTTCCTTCCTTATGTTGTGCTCACCAATAACACTGTCATAAAGCTCACTTCTATTCATAGTTTAAGACCTTCTGGTAGCACATTATTCATAAACCTTTCTTTATTTGTCTTTATTTGTCATACGAACATAGCTACAGAGTAGTTAAGCCTGTGACCTAAGATTTTCATCAACATAACTACTCTGTAGCTATGTTTGTATGACAAATAAAGAACCTTGAATCTTGAAGCAATAATGTTCTTCAGAGCTCTAAATATGTCACGCTGCACAGGGGAGCTACATGGTGAGAAATGGACAGTTTTAGGCAATCAAGGCAAGGCAAGGCAAGGCAAGTTTATTTATATAGCACTTTTCAACACAAGGCAATTCAAAGTGCTTTACAAAAAATGAAAGAGATTAAGAAAATGGCATTTAAAATCAGTCATTAAAAAGAAAAGCTAATAAAATAAACATTTAAAGAAAAAGTACATGGATAAAAGTTACAGTGCAGTCTAAGATATGAATAGTTCAATTAAAAGCAGCGACAAAAAGAAAAGTCTTCAGCCTGGATTTGAAAGTAGTCAGAGTTGCAGCGGACCTGCAGGTTTCTGGGAGTTTGTTCCAGATATTTGGAGCATAATAACTGAACGCTGCTTTACCATGTTTAGTTCTGACTCTGGGGACAGAAAGCTAACCAGTCCCTGAAGACCTGAGAGATCTGGATGGTTCATAATTTAGCAGGAGGTCAGAAATGTATTTTGGGCCTAAACCATTCAGTGCTTTATAAACCAGCAGCAGTATTTTGAAATCTATTCTTTGACACACAGGAAGCCAGTGTAAAGACTTCAGAACAGGAGTGATGTGATCCACTTTCTTAGTGTTAGTGAGGACTCGAGCAGCAGCGTTCTGAATCAGCTGCAGCTTCCTAATAGATTTTTTAGTGAGACCTGTGAAGACACCATTGCAGTAGTCGAGTCTACTGAAGATAAAAGCACGGACAAGTTTTTCCAAATCCTGCTGTGACATTAGTCTTTTAATCCTAGATATATTCTTTAGGTGATAGTAGGCTGATTTAGTAACAGTTTTAATGTGACTGTTGAAACTCAGGTCATAGTCCATGACTACACCTAGATTTCTGGCTTTATCTGTTGTTTTGAACATTGCAGACTGAAGCTCAGCGCTAACTGAGTTTTAGTAATAATGTTGCCTATACCACACAAATAAGTGAGCATCTGAGAGGTCAGAGGATAACATTTGCATCAGATGATTTTATTACATTGAAGAGTTAATGGATCATTTATCCAAAGCCTCAAATACTCCAGGAATCTTTCAATTCATGTTTGGGGAGCAACATTGCATCTTCTGTTCCTCTCGACACTCACTGAGTGGGCTATTAGCTAATACACACCATTTCACTTGTTCATAGTTACAGTACTTCCTCTATCTCTCTAAACAGTGATGACAACGTTTCACTAAACCCGGGCTCCTCCTGCTGTGAGGAAAATATAAAAACAGCCCTCTTCTTCCTCCAAATCTACATTACACTCTGCAAGTGTTGTGTGTGTGTGTTTACTGAGGATTAGCAACTGTGTTCTGCTGGTTTTACTCATCATTTAATTACAGAGGAAGTATAGAGGAGATGTCACTAAATGGCTTCTATGCTGTTAGACTGAATGTCATTGAATTAAAAACGTCATAAAGTATATTAACCTCTGCTAGACATCGTGGAAAATGGTTAAATCGTGACTTTCGTAAAGTCAAATCCCGGCTTTTGAGGTACTTGCAGTGACACAGCTGATGTATATCCGGTATCAAGCTGTTTAAATATTCATATTCCCTATAAGTTTCAATAATGGAAATTCCCTCATCTCTCCCTTGTTGAAATGTTTTCCCTTTATTTATATATTTAACTAATGAATCCCCTTTACACTGTGTTTTTGTTTGATTGTCCTGTTTGTGTGATTTCACACCTGTTATTAGATATTGTTATATTATATGATGATTTACAGAACTATAATAATTATTGGGGCTAGCAACGTTAGCGCTATAACGATAAATCTGAAACCTCTACGCGTTTAAATAAAATGTGTATGTGTTTGTTATATTTGACTTGTTTTGTGAAGTACGTGTGCTCTGCTCCTGTATTTAAATGGCCGTTGTCTGGAAAGCATCTGGTGCTGCTGACCTTCATTCATCGTGGACTTCATGAGCCTTTAGTGCCCTCTTGTGGCCTTTCCCCCAAATATAAGTGAGTGTTGTTTTTGTGCAGACTTTATTTCCTATACAGTATTTGGTAGGCCTACAGCCTGTAGTTACGGCTTCATCAAATCATTTTCATTAGTTTATGAGGACTTAAAGTAGTATTTGCTGAAAAGAAAAGAGCAAATCTGACACTACTGTTATGTTTGGGTAGTTTGTGATTTCTTGCTCCCTCAAGTGGCAGAAAGCAGAATTTCACATTAATGTAACTGCTTTTTTCTCACATTTCCTCTTCAATGCTGCACTGTGTCATGTGCCTTCACACAGTGGTTGAATATAACTAAGTACCTTTATTAAAGTTCCCTACTGAAGTAATATTTGACATAATTTTCCTTTATACTTAAACTCTGTAATTTGTACTTAACTGCATATATTTAACACTCAGGTACTAGTTACTTTTTACATATATAAACACATGAAATACTATATGATAAGATGCAGTATGTTACAAATTATAAACCCAGTATTTTTGAAAGTATCTATAATTGGCTCCACATTGACAAACTACAACTTTTAAGTGCTAGGAATTTGTAATGATAAAAAACAGGATACTATAATAACCATAATAATATAATGTTGTGGAAAGAGCCATTCTGCATAACATGCACTTTTTATTTTTCTGATAATAGTTTTAAAATGTATAATCTGTTCTGGTATTGGCCATTGTGCAGAGTGAGTCATTTTACTTTTTGTACTTCAAGTATATTTGGAAGCAATCATTTTGTACTTTTACATACGCAACATTTTGAATTCAGGACTTTTACTGAAAACCATAGTATTTCCACTTTTACTGAAGTTAAGAGTCTGAATACTTATTCTCACACTAGATTCACAGGTCACCTTGTTCAGATTGTATGAATACATTATATAACATGTATACATGCAAATAGTTTTGTTAAAATACTTGGTTCAACAGAAACAATATAGACAAAACCTTTTCTAACTAACGTATTTAATACTTCCTAAATGACCAGAAACAGATTTCAATTAGTTTGTGGTAATTATAATAATTGAACTGCTGTTTTTAAATGTCATTTTGTAATGCATGGTACCATAAAATACATTTAGTGTCCTGCATGTTGTTCTGGTGGAGGCAGAATACTCAGTTAAATCTGAAAATCTGGATGAAAAAACACAGAAAAACACAGATAGATTATTTTCACTTGAGAAAAGGAAACTGACGACTGACTTTGATCAGAATCATTTTATTGTTATATTTGCTTCAACAATTTTTTTTTCATAGGATCTGACAACATATCATTTTTGTTGGTTTCCATTATGCACACAACTTTATGTTTGTCAACCTGAATACAAGTAACAACAAAAAAAAGGATATAAATGTGAAACTATATACGATATATTTTTCAACTTTCTTTTCTGGATCAACTTTTAATATATCTGAAAATATCAATACCATGATCAACAGTATTCTCTGCTGTTGGCTTGTTTAGATTACTGACTTAACTTCAAGTAAACAAAACAGTAGAGCATATTAAAGAATAATGAGTACATGTTAGAAAACATCTGTTTCTCATGGTCTCTGTACTTTAAGCTCTAAGGATGCAATAAGTGTTGAAAATAAGAAGAATATTAATAGTAAGTAAAACACGATTTAATCACATGGTCTTTGTACGACACAGACCCTCAACATCACAGTGTGCACACAGCATAATGTTCTTTAAGCTAATTATTTGAAAATAATAAAACAAATGGAATATTTAAAAGTAAAACATATAAATGAAAAGATAACGATGTCTTGCATGAAACTATAACAGTACACATATTGAAGAATAGTGATGCCATTAGATAACATCTGTTTCTCATGGCCTTTGTGCATTAAGCAAAGTTGTATAATAAAACAAAACATGTAAATAGTTGAGTAAGTAATAATAAGTAGTACAAATAAAAGTAGATAAAACATGATCTCATCACTAGTCTTTGCCTACATCATCATGTTGTGCACACGGCGTTGAGAGTTTTTCAAAAATATTACAAAAAAACATTAAAATATATAAATGATAAAAATGTCTTGCATGAAACTATAACAGTAAACATATTGAAGACATATGAGACAACATCTGTTTCTCTGTTCTTGTATTTTAACATCATCAACAACATCAGCTTCTTTATATTTGTGCACTAGTCTTTATGAAAAGAGCTGCAATCATCAAATAATAAAACTCGTGTAATCTGAGCAATCAGTCCTTCTTTCTGACTTGTTCATCACATCATTATCCGTTAAAAGAATGAAAATCAAAAGTTCCTCATCAACAAGATGTGAAGGATGCCACAGTATTTGCACATGAAGCAAAACGTCATCAACATGCACTTACAGTACTTCAACTGAGGCTGGCTTATGTACTCTCCAAGAACACTTCAACGTTTATATTTACAATAAATGTTGAATAATAAAATGAAAAATGAAAAACTGTGGAGAAAGTAATACTAAGTAGTAAAAACAAACACAAACATGATCTCATCACATGGTCTTTAGACATCATTGCATGAACACAAGGAATGAATAAAACAAGAAAACAATTTCATTTGTATCGTTATGTATTATTCTCAGACTGGTATGAAATACATTTTTCCTCCTGGTTGTTATCTGCAAAACTTGTTACTTAAAAGCTCAAATGTGAAGCAACACATGAGTCATGTGGAAATTTACATCACAAAACATCTCTTTGTCTCCAACACGGTCTTTGTAGTAAAGCATCTTCATCATTGACATCTCTTTGTTGTGCACTCCAGTTATAACGCACTACGTTTAACAGTTTACTGAAAATAAATGTAGCAGTCAAAAAACTAAAATGACAAAAACAAAATAACATGATGTCTTTCTTCAGGTGGACTATGACGTACATCATTTTCAGAATCATTGTTGTTACGCCAGTCATTACACCCAGAGGAAAACAACATCTTGAAAATAGAAGAAAAAAAAAACAATAAAGATTTAAAGAATTGTTCCTCTTTTTTGTTAGCATTATCATCAGCATACCAATCATTGTCCATGAGGTCTTATTGAAGATTGATGAAGGAAAACAAAACATTTGTAATGTTAAAAAGAACACGCCACACATAACTATCTTTTGAACTTCTCTGCAACTTCTTAAAATCAACAGTTGTCAATAATAGTGATCGTCAAACCCCAGGATGCCACTAAAGATCACGGTGCAGTCAACTTTATCACAACAGTGTTCATCTGTTCTGTGTTTTTGCCCTGGCGTGTTCAGTTCCTGTTTCCTTCTGGTTGTCTCTCTCTTGTTAAAGAGATTTTGCAGGTTTGTCTTTAATGTTGAAGGCTTCCTTCAAGCCTTTCAGTGCTTGTTCCTTTGTAATTTTCCTCCATGCTTCTGGAACATCAGCTGGCTTGGCGTTATATTCTTGGGCAAATCTCTCATTGTATTTAACCAGGACATACTTCCAGTAGTCAGATGCCTCCCTGGTGTAGTCTGGAGGAATGAGCCAGTCTGAGTAGATCGTGCTGTAGTCCTTGTAAGGATGATACTCTCCATTAGTGTCTGCACATCTGAATTTACGCTCACTGTGAACATCAGTTGTGCACAGTGTTTCCACTAGCTTCTCAGAGTCTTCATAGCTGTATCTACCGAGACCTTGTGGCCGATGAACAGCTGCATGATGTTTCTTATGTTTTTTACCTCCGGCTTCACAAGGAACTTTACAAAATGGACATTGTTGTCCACAACCACACACCCGATTGAAAAGCTCATCCTCTGGTTTGGTTGGAAGTTTGTTCACAGTCTCTGTGATGTCTTCAGATGTTGAGAACTCCTCCTGCAGCTGTTCATTCATTTTACTCAATGATTTGACGAGGCTCTCTTTAAATGGATGGCATGTGCTTTGGATTTGAAACAGGGCGGTTTTTTGAGCCTCTTCTGAAAGAGAGACATCTTTGGTCAAAAATGTGCGCATGTTTTTGATGAGCTCTGTGATGCTTTCCTTGTTATCTGGCAGCAGGACACCATCCTCTCCTTTTGAGGCCCTTTCAGTTGCATCTGTTATTTTGTTAACTATGACTTTCAGATTCTCACTTTTCAGTTTGCATAAAGCTTTATCCTCTGACATTTCTTGCAAGATGTGCTGAAATATCAAATCCTTTACATATATTTCATATTTACAAATGAACTTGACAAAACTCTGAAAGTCTTCCTTTTGCAGCAACTCTTTCTGAATGTTGTACTGTAAAAAGTTTCGTGAACTGTACTCTGCTGAATGGCGGCCTGCCAAAACTTGATCCACAATGTTAGTTCCCAGATGTCTACTGATGTACTCTTCCACAGCAGGTTTGATACAAAGTCTGACAAAATCATCTGCTTTGCGTTGGCAATCATCTCTCTTTTTGTATAGATCGATAAAATCCAACAAGTACTGTGGCCTGTACTTCTCCAGCTGAATTCTGGGATCCCTTGCTGACAAGAAATGTTTGTGCATTTGAAGGAACTCTCTTGAGGCAATGCCACAAATGTGAAGTTTCAGGTCAATCTCAAACTTGGGCTGGAAAGTGTTTCCTGTAAGGGATTCATCTACCTTTTCCAAAAGATCCTTTGTAAAAGAGTCATGGTAGTCTGCGTCGGTTTTTGCAATACCACGTACAGACCGTCTGCAAGACTCAATGGCAGTGTCTGCAAAACTTTGCAACTCTCTTTTTTTTTCTTCTTTTTGCCAGACTGCCATACCTTTCCAACCTACTTTTACATGTTCAGATTTGATCATCAATTGATTCTTTCCTATGTCCTTTAGGTCTGTAATGTTCTGTAATTCCTCATTGAAGTTACGATTTGAGAAATGTATCCTCAACTGTTCAAGGATTTTATCAGATATGTTTAGTTCTTTCAGGCCAGACACGTTTGCTGTGACTTTTGTCCACATCTGTTGAAAGTCACGTTTCAACTGTTCATCAGAAAGTCTGCGGTGTTCGCGATCACTCAAGAGTTTCATTACTTCTTTTTCAATCATTTCTCTGTGTTTGCTCTGAATGTCCTGAGCCTCTTTTGAACTTTTTTTTTCGTGAAGCGCAAAATCCAATGCATTGTTTACCGAATGTTGGAATTCGTCTTTAAGACTTCTGATACGGTTGATAAAGTCAATTTTGTATTTCTCTATCAGACTCACGTGTATGTCTTTCCTTTTGTAGTAGTCATCAAGTTTATTCTCCATTTCTTTTTGTTCTTCTATTTTCTGCAACAACTGTGATTTTTTTGAGGCAACCAATATCTTCAAAGTTTCCACATGAGTTTCATTGTCAGAATTTAAGATCTCTAACTTTGCCCCATCCTGCCAAAAGATCAAGTCTTTTTTGAACTCCCATTCCCATTCATTGAACTCCTTGCAAAGGTTGTCATAAGCCTGAGCCACGAGAGTGTTTCTGAAACTGAAGATGAAGTTCTCATATTTGACTGCTTTCCAGAGACTTCTTACCCATTCTAGAAACTGTGGAATCCGTGAAACATCACCGGTTTTGTCTTTTTTCACTGTCTCCAAGAGGTTTTTCTTGAAATCTGCTACAGCTTCGCTGTAACCTGTGTTCACTGATGCCATCGGTGGAGTCCCATGCCAGAGTCCGGGGATGTTCCAGTTGTTTTTTGCAATATCATAGTCCAGCACATCTGTGAATCTCTTTATAGAGGGATGCTTTTCCATTTCAGCAGCAATTTCTGTCATTTCATTGAGTTGGTCCAAGAGATGCTGTCTCTCCGTCAAGGTCCTTTCATGAGCGGAGACTCCAGCAACATTCTGGTGAACAAAATGACAAATTGGCCTTCTACCAATTTCCTTCATTCTCAGGAATGCATGGATTGCAATTTGCAGCACGTCTTTCATTTCTGTGGAGTTCTCTGAAGCAACATTGATAATTGTCACATCACTTAAACCAATGACAAAGGTTGCCAGCTGGTTGTCATGCTCATAACTGTCTTCTAGTTGTGCCAACTGAGGAGCCTTGAGGCCCTCTGTGTCAATGAGAACTATGAAGTCACAGTTCAGCTGGTGTTGCATATCATCACTTACTCTGAGGAAGAGCATATACGCTCCTCTTGTGCATCTGCCACTGCTGACTGCAAACTGCACACCGAACATGGTGTTGAGGAGTGTTGACTTCCCGGTGCTCTGAACACCCAACACGGTCAGTACCAACAGTCTGCTCTTCTCTCCAACCTTCCTGTGTAGCTCCATTAGTACATCTGTCACCCATTTCTCTGGGATGTTGGAAGCATCTCCATCCAAGAGCTCTAAAGGATATCCATCCAACAGCAGTTCAGCTGCCAAACCAGGGAGACGATGTACTTCATCAGCAGAGTTTTGAGAGGAAAACTCATAGATCAGTCCCATCTCTCTCATGTAATGCTCTAACCCTAAAGAGCTTTCCAGCATCTCCTGATCCAGCTTCTTAATCTCTTTCACATCTTTGTTCTCTTCGTTGATTTTGTCTTTCCACTGATGGCGGAGTGAAGATAGCTGATCCCGGGAATGTGCATCCAGTTTGAGTTTCATCCACTTAAGGAAAAAATCTCTGCTCTTGCTGTCATTTTCATTTTTAGGTAACTGTTTAATGAAAGTCTCCATATCATCTGATAGTTTCTGTTTTCCAAGCCTCTCCTTGATTTGTTGTTGTTCTCTCTGTAGCTGAGATTTATATTCTTCAGGTGCTAGATTACCATTACCATGTGTTTTCAAGCTACATTCCTTTTTCTCTAACTGCGATAACCTTTTCCAGTCAGCGCCTTGCAGAGGAAGCTGTTTTCTCTTGTAATCTGGTATCTTCTGCGCCCTAATTCCTTTGACAAGCTTTTCAGCGGTTTTCTTTTGGTCATCACTTGTGTATTCGTCCACAGACAGACCAAAATCAACAGCTTTCTGAACCATATTTTCAATGCTCATTGGTAGTGTTTCAACTGTTATCTTGTTAATGGCGGCAGAAAGTTTCTCTGAAAACTCCACAACATTTACTCTTGGGTCTTTAACTTTCACACTGCTGTTTGGCAAACCTAATTCTTTCACTGTTTTCCTGACAGACTCCATGTCCTCTTTTGAACTTCCATCCTTGCGGTTAACAACCAAGAACAGTTTGGATTTCACATCTTGAAGAGAAGTCAGAATCTCATGCTCCTCTTTTTCAATTGTGTCCAGGAAAACAAAGGTAGCAGTTGACACTTGAAACAGAAAAGTGAACTGAGCAAGTGACTCAGAAATGTTTCCTCTCAGATTGGCGAAGGCAATTGGGTCTGGAAATACATCAGGATGTTCTCTGCCTCTGGGAAGGTACCAGCACACCTCAGCCAAGCCATTGGCAATGTGTCTTTCAATTGCTCCTCCTTTCATGTCTCTGTGTATGAAGTAATTGTGATTCTGCTGGCCAAGGCTGAGAACTTGATTCAAAATCTGGGTCTTGGACAAACTACAATTATGGAGCCTCACAAAGGAAAAGAATGGTATCTTTGCTTGGACAATGTGGTTTTCAACAAAGCCTCTTGATTCAGACAGGTGGGGACACCACTCTTTGACAATGTCCCTCAGAGCCCAAAGCATCAGGGTACTCTGACTGTTATTGACATGGGGCATCAGCAGTGGGACAGAAAACTGGCACATTGACATCTTGAGGGCCATTTCCTGTTGCAAGAAGCTGTCAGCACAAAGGAAGAGTGCTGTTACGAGGTCGAGAGGGTTAACCCTATCGTCTGCAGATTCATCAGCAGTGAAAGGATCACGATCAAAGGGATCACTGCTTTCTTCCTCATCATCACTGTTTGATCCTTGTGTACAGCCCCTGCATTCTGCATTGAGTTTAAATAGTTTACTGAGAAAGCACCAAGGTATTTTCTGTACTGATGAGGCAGCTTCTTCATTTATGCTGTTTTTGTTGATCTCCAATAGAGACCGAAGAGTGAGCTTGTTGGGATAAAATATCTCCAGTCCCAGTTTGGAGAGAAAGGTGATTAGGACTGTTAAAGAGAAAGAGAAGGTCATATTTAGATATTAGGCAGCCCTTAATGGATTATATATGGATGTTTCCTCGAGGTCTGACGTGCTGAAGGCATTTCCTTTCTCAATTCAATTCAATTCAAAACCTTTATTTATCCAGGTAAAATCCCATTGAGATCAATGATCTCTTTTTCAAGGGAGACCTGCAGCAGTAGGTTCCACAAGAAGACATCAAAACATAAACAACAGAACAACAAAAGGACATCATACAGCAAAATGTACAGGGATTACAATTTACATATCTAACCACATGTACAGATACCAACAGCATCTGATTGAGTAGCATCCAACCGAGCTTTAAAAACATGTAGTGGTACTAGCTTGGTAATTTTCCATTCTTTTTGCAGACTGTTCCATGTTAGTGGAGCTGCACATCTAAAAGCTTTCTTCCCTAAGACAGTCCTAGCACTTGGCACATTTAATAAAACCACAGCATGCGATCTCAGGCAATAAGTACTTTCAATTCGCCGAGAGATCAGGGAGCAGATATAAGATGGTAGTTTATCCAACATGGCTTTGTAAATGAAAAAGTACCAGTGACTGAGCCTCCGTACAGTAAGTGATGGCAAAACCGCCTTGGTATACAGGGTACAGTGATGCGTAAGTGCTTTACAATTTGTCAAAAATCTCAGTGCACTGTGATACGCAGCATCTAACTTGCTCAGGTAATTGGCAGGTGCATTCATATATAACAAATCACCATAGTCCAGCACAGGTAAAAAGGTCACAGTGACTAGCCTTTTCCTGGCCTCAAGCGAGAAACAGGACTTGTTTCTAAAAAAGAAACCTAGCCTAACCCTCAGCTTTTTAAGCAGGTTATTGACATTAAGTTTAAAAGTGAGACAGTCATCAAGCCAGATACCCAAGTATTTGTAACAGGTAACCACTTCAAGTTGTATTCCTTGCGTAGTTACAATATCCAAAGCAGTCTCTGGTGTATTTTTAGCTTTAGCTTTAGAAAAGAGCATTACCTTGGTTTTATCCACATTTAAAAGAAGCTTAAGCTCAGAGAGCTGAGCCTGAATAATGTTAAAAACAGCCTGTAATTTAACAACAGCCTCGTTAATCGAGGGACCTGCACAGTACATCACGGTATCGTCCGCATAAAAATGTAAGGTTGCTCCTTCGACATTTTCACCTAAACTATTAATATAGATAGAGAATAATAGCGGACCTAAAACTGAACCTTGTGGTACACCATTAGTGATGTTTAACCACTCAGAAGACAACCCATCAAAGTGAACACATTGGGATCTTTCAGAGAGGTAGTTTACAAACCACCCACTGCATGGCTGGATATACCAATACTGACCAGCCTCTGCTTCAAAATGCGATGATCGACGGTATCAAAAGCTTTGGATAGGTCAACAAATAGAGCTGCACAACTCTGCTTATTATCTAAAATACTCGTAATATCATTTACCACTTTCATTGTGGCAGTGATGGTGCTGTGTTGCTTTCTGAAGCCTGACTGATGTTTAGACAGGATGTCATTGTTACATAAAAACTCCTTTACCTGTTCACTCACTAGGCGTTCAAGAACCTTGGCCAGAACTGACAATTTAGAGATGGGTCTATAATTGTTTAATAAGGTGGCCTCCCCTCCTTTTAGTAGTGGCAGGACATAAGCTGACTTCCATACTTTTGGGATTTTGTTCGTGCTGAGGGAGAGGTTAAAAAGAGTAGTAAGAGGTGGAGCAATAAAATCTGCAGCTATCTTTAAAAAGAAAGGTTCTACGTTGTCCGGACCAGCCGGCTTTTTAGGATCTAGCTTGGTTAAGACTTCACGAACAACATCAACAGTAAAAGGAGTAAAACTGAAGGGGTTTTCCAGACCACATTGTTCTGAGTCACAGACTGTGGTGTTCACAGAAGCAGAATTAGAAACAGAATGAAACAGAGAGCCACAGGACACAAAATGCTCATTAAAACAATTTAGTATGGTGGTCCTATCCGATATAGTGCCAGATACTGTGGTAAGGCACGGAGGTAGCTCATTACGGATATCACCGGTGGATATCGATTTTATGATTCAACAGTAAAATTTACTGGCGTTCATTTAACATAAAGCCTTTTTTTCATTATTTTAAAAGTGTGGATTATTGTACATCCATGTTTGCAAGCTTGCAGAATTGTTTATTTTGTTGGATTACACTGGATTGCACATCTCCAAGATCTGTGAATCATTTGAATCTCTGTGATTTTGTAGTTTCACAATTCTAAGAGATCAAAGATGTATTTAGTTATTTATGTGGTCATTTTTACACTTTATATACATCTTAATACATCCTTTAACAATTTCATGTGTACTTCTATATACAGTACGTCAGTAAACATCAAAGTTGAGTGAATGGGGGAATTACCTGCATGTTCTTCACCTGTGTTTGTAGACATGGTCTGACTTTTCCTTCAACTCTCCTGTGCTTGGAAACCTAAAAAAGGTACAACAAATAAAGCTTATTTTTTCATTTTGAGTAGCCTACTTTTATTTTCAAAGACGTAACACATTGTGTTATTGCTTATTCATTGCAGATCAGTTGCAATTATAAAGAACAAACTACTGTTTGAATGAAGCAAAACCAATGTCCTTATTTAAAACCGCTGCGCTAACTGCCAATATTTGTCACAAGTTTGCTTAGAGAAATATTATTAATATGTATAATGTGACCAAAGAGGTGTGTCCTACTGTCTAGTGTAGCAATACAATTCTGATTTAGTCCGATTGAAGCATATCAATTAAAAAGTGTTTGCAGTAGCTATACGGTAAACACTGATGATATAACATTTAGTATTGCTACTTTTACTCAAGTACAAAAAGTACTTCTTTACAACACTGATAATGTCTCAGTGTATCGGCAATCAAGCTTTTGTTGGTCAAAGATCTTACAATGTTTATTTTCTAAGAACCACAAATGTGAATGCGTTCCATTGTCTGGCAGTGGAGCTTTTATCTATACATCGAGGTGTTAAAACCCCAACTCCCTGCTCAAAAACAACAGTCAGAAAGCACAATTTGGTTCCCTGTGTGCACAAAGTGTAAGCAGAGTTCAACAGTTCACCAAGTTCAAAGTTTCAATAGTCAATTAAATAATTAACTTAAACAAACAAAACATCTTAAAGGGGCAGCTGTCAGTGAAGTTTATCACAGTCATTAACCTGTTAAGCCTGGATGCCCCCGTCCGCCAGTGGCAAACCATCAGGGCCTTCAAGGTATTCAGAGAATACCCTGGAACACTCAGATAAAACAAACAAAAAATTGATTTAATTATATAAATAAAATGTATATAAAATGAATGAATGAGAATCGTATCTGTGTTGTTGATCAGTAATATTACAGTGTTACGTTGATTTGTTTGTCCTTCTCGGACCATGCACTACGCATTTCAGTGGGTTTGTGTTAGAAGAGAAAGCAACCAATCAGATCTTGTTCTGGGTCTCTGGGTAGAATATCCTTCAACCAAGGTATTCTACATCCTTGATCGAATGCCCTGGCCGTTGCACTGAATGAGAGCGTACGTTTGGACTGACAGTTTGATCAACCAATCATATATTGATTTGTAGCCAATGGGCGCATCATTTCAGAGTTTCCCTCGGTTCCAGGGTATTCTAGAAGGCCCGCTAGTTAACTGGAGAGAGACAGAGGATCTAGATGAATGCGACGAAGCAATTCATGCCGTTTTATTGTTTTTAACGTTGAAATGACAAGTGCAACAGGTGAAGATGAAGTTGTTGCAGACTTGTTGTGAGTACCCTTTTCAAGACGACAGTTCAGTGAAAAGACGGACATTATAACCGTGTGTGTCTACAGAAGGTCCAGTTGCGATAGATACGGTTCGCCACTGCCGCCCGCATACTTCTGCACAATCAAGATATCAGATTAAAGCTGAGATTCCACCAATTCTAGAAGTATTAGTATCATCACTGTGCGATCAAAACTCGCAGTAGGAGAAGCAAACCCAGACATCACACGACATAGCTTTACGGCGCAAAAACGGCAAATAGTCTTACCTTTGCTGTTTTTCTGATCAAAAGTTGTGTTCAATGGCATTAAAACAATAAAAACGCTGCTGAAGGTTAATCCATAGGTTAATCCAATGTGTCTGTGTCACCTTGAAATTATTACTGATAATCCATCGTCATATTGATGGCAAAAACTGAGTTTTCATATATAGCTGCTATGATAGCTAGTGTATGACAGCTTCCGGTTTTTGGTATTCTGGCTGCGCATCACTCTATTCACCAATGGGTAATTTTTAGATGGATTTTAGGAACTTCACCTCGATTCTATTGGCTCTAACGATTAAAAAGAGGTGTCAATCATCAAAATCGACCGATGGGTTCCAGAGATATGGAAAATACACCCAAATGACCCCAGACATGAGTTTTTTTTTCTAAATCTCTCTATAAAGATAAAATGTCATTGTTTTGCATCAATCTTGATACAGGGTACTTATTATATGTTATATAAATGTTTACTATGTTCAATTTGAATTTACTCTAAAATAAAAAAATATATATATTGATTCTGACTTTTCTACATCCAACTCACAGGTTTATTATTGCTTTGAGAAAAACGATTATTAATTTACCCCTTTTAGAAGAAAATATATAGTCATTTGTTCTGGGAATGTCATTTTTCGAGCCTGAGGCCTGAAAAACAGGCTCAGGGGTTAACATGTTAAGAAAGATGCTGCAGTGATTTTGAGTCATTGGGTCACATAACGAGCAAATAAAAAATAGAAGGATTTTCAATACAGAAACGACTTAATGTGCTAAACAATAACCATACAAAAAAACCTTAAAACATAAAAACATGTGTCCTACTTGTTATACAGTTCTGCATCAATACTGGGCCATAAGGTCAAACCATATGGAAGCTTTTGAAAAAATCCACGTTTCAATGAAAGAAATGTTGATATATTATAATAACGTTAAAAAATTGTTTTAAGATTGGTCTAATAAACAGATGTTTGTCCCAATTATTGTGAATGAATACAATTAGGGCTGCAACAAAAGACTAATTTGATAATCGATTAATCTATCGATTAATGAAACGATGAATCGACTATTCGGATTATGCCTTGCACAATTTCTCAAACGCTCTTATTTAGCCATCAACTTTTAGATTGAGCTTGAGGTTGTTTTAGGCATGTGGAAACTAACAATGAAGAAAATAAAGATGATTACTTGATTCAAAAATACATATTTTATTAAACTATCTGCTGAAAGATAAATACAAAATCTGTCCTTCAACATTTAAACCAAGGAAAGCAGATCAGATAAAAGATAACCTTTTTCACATTGTCAAGTAGGGATGGGTATCATTCAGTAGCGTGGCGTGGGGAAAAAAATAGGGGAAGCCAATAATACGTCCTTTCTTTTGGGTCGGGGGTGTGGTGGTCAATGTGATAACGTAACCAGAGGAGTGATTACAGCACCCGGTATCATTTTACACACATTTGTATCATACAGATGCAGGACTTACACACGCCTGTTATCTAACCGACAGGTCCGCACGCACTCTCCAGCCGAAACTCTAATAAGCATTCATTCCAGGGGCGGATCTACCGGGGTGGCATGGGGTGGCAACTGCCACCCTAAACAATAGCCTTGCCACCCCAGCTGCCACCCCAGTTGGCATCTTTGTTTTGAAAGAAAAGTTGTGGCTCATCGGACATTTATGAGACAAAGTCTCTAATGTCCGAGTGCAAGTGAATGCAGCACAAGATGCACGTCATGTAACCCCTCCCCCGGTCCTGGCACGAGAGTGGAAACATTATTGGTGGCAAATTCACTTGAACGGGGGGACGGCGCAAAACAAGAAGCCTTTCGGACCCAAGCACTTAAGGAATGAGGTATTTGCGGTCTACAATGACAGAGAAGAGAATGTCAAGTTTGGCTGTACTCAGCATTGAATCAAAACGCACTACAGCTGTTGATCTTAATAAGTTTGTGAGGCGTTTTGCTGAACAAAATAGTAATCGCCGCATTCAGCTGTAATAGACATGCCAACTTGATGCTCTGCTCACGGGTGACTCGATGAGAATAACAAACTGTTAAGATGATGACCTTGTATGCGTGTATATATTTTTTTCTTTGAGGGGGTCTGCCCCCAAAAAACAGTTTTAAGTCCTGAGAAAGTAAAATAAGACGGTGTGTAAAACTACACTGCCCAGCCAACAGAAAGTAACCACTTTGATTTAACTAGGCCAGTAGGTAAGGACCTTCCACTGGATAATAACTGCAGCGATGTTTTAGCTGAATACACGTTTTTTAACCCTAACTGATGCAGTTAGTCACTTCTTTAATGTTTGTTCTTTCTGATGTAAAGTCAAGGTTGTAACTGTATATCAATAATGATATAATTACTTGTTTTTCAAATTTGAATGAGGGTGAGCAAGCATCTTGATGAACATTCATCATTAACTCCTCCAAAAAATATAGTTTATTCAATAATAAATGAATATGTGAATCATAACAGTTCTTCACTATATCTGTAAAGCGTCTTTGAGCACCTGTAAAAACGCTAACAAATTAAATCTATTATTATTATTATTATTATTATTTATTAACAGTGATTGACAGCTGATAGGAATAATATGATTGTTAATAGTATCATATTCATTCAGACAAACATCGATGAGACAGTTAATTAATGTACTTATTGCAGCAGTCTGCATAGATTTGGTACCCCTGCTGGTCTAAGAGTGAGACAAACTCATTCAGTTATTGTTCAGTTAAAATTCATTAAATTACGTCTGCCACCTTATTTGTAAGGCTTTACTGATGTGCCACAATAATATCACCTATGTGATTGAGTTAAAATATTAATATTGTGGCTTTCCAAGTTAACATTGATTGTAGGGGTGTAACGGTTCACAAACATTTCGGTTCGGTACGTACCTCGGTTTTTAGGTCACGGTTCGGTACGTTTTCGGTACAGCAGAAAAGATTATCACAAAACATTAAATATTTTTTTTTAATTATTATTAAACTGTGACTAATGTATTCAAATAAATACAAAATATAGTAAAATAAACATTAAGGTGCAGCATTTCGATGAACTGAAATAATCTGTATTTGAACTGTACTAGTACCTAAGCAGCCAGCTTGACAATAGGACTTGATTTTCATTGTATTTTCATGTTGTTTAAAGAAAGATGAACTTGTCCACATTGCTTGCTGAAATGGCAGATCTGCTGACACTAACAATGTCTCCTGCTGTGGAGAACACCCTCTCTAGGGACAGAGGTAGCAGATACAGCCAGGTAGCACTTTGCTAACATGGCAACATAAGGATATTTGGCGTTTGTAATAGCTTTGGCTCGGTCTGAACTTTCTGCGAGTGGTGGAGGCTTAAATGCTAGTGGGAGTTGGGTTTGCACTTCAGTCTTTTTTCTTTTGGTACCGGTGATATTCACATTCGGGTGATGCCTTTTCAAATGAGTGTGATGTATTGCCAGCCGCGTAACCAATGTTGGTTGAACAATGCCGACAAACAGCTTTGGTTCGGTCCACCTGTCTTTGTCCGTCATCCTTGTACGTAACTGCGAAACCAAAATGTTCCCAAACCGGAGACTTCAATGATGCTGGAGGATTTTCAGCTCAACTTTATCTGCGTTTTGCCATTTCGACAGTTTCTCAAATTACTGACTACATTTGAACGCATCCCTGTGACCAGCTCTCATAGTATGCCTCTCGTCCAATGAAATGACTTGCTCGTGGAAAGGCAGACATGGCCTCCACTTTCGACGGGAGGGGGGCCGCCCCATCCTTGCTGATGAGGTGCCCGAGGAAATGGATGGAAGACAATCCGAACTGACACTTCGCCGGGTTAATAATCAGGCCGTGTTGGTTGAGCCTCGCGAAAAGGACCCGGAGATGTGCCTGGTGCTCTTCGAAGGAGGATCTGGCTACCAGGATGTCGTCTAAATAGACGAAGGTGAATGGCATGTCTCTGAGCGCTGAATCCATCAGCCGCTGAAAGGACTGAGCTGCGTTCTTAAGTCCAAACGGCATACGCAGGAACTCGAAAAGCCCAAACGGCGTAATTACCGCAGTTTTGGGGACGTCCGAGGGGTGCACCGGAACCTGGTGGTAGCCCCGCACCAGATCCACCTTGGAGAAAACCAGCTTGCCTGCCAGGTGTGCAGAGAAGTCCTGGATGTTAGGGACCGGGTAGCGGTCTGGCGTAGTGGCGTCGTTAAGGCGGCGGTAGTCACCACACGTTCGCCTGCCACCGGCTAATTTAGGGACCATGTGAAGCGGCAAAGCCCA